TCTTGAGGGCCAGTAAGATAGCTCAGTGGACTAAGTGCCTGCTTAGGCAAGCGTAGGTATCAGGGTTCAATCCCTGGTACCATACACCGCGCCGGCTCCACCTGTGTGTGGTGGCACACACCTGTAATCCCAGCACTGGGGAGCCTGAAAACAGGAAGATCACTAGGTGTCTGAGCTGCATAGTGAGACCTTGTGCCAAATACATAAAATTAAAAAAAAAGGTAATTCTTTTTCCTTACTGCGTAAAATCCTCTCACATTCATTAGGAGAAATGTACAAGAGTATTTATAGCAGTGTCCAAATGTTAGAAGATCTGTGCCTGACCCTCTTGTTATCCATAAGCTAGTGTTATGGCTTGTGTCTAGATGTTCCCTGGAAACCTCATGCACTCATAGGAGTCATAGGTGGAGCTTTTTCAGAGATGGCTTGATCTAGGGTGTGTGATGCTGGGGTTAATTGTGTGATTACTAAATTATCCCACTGATTGCTTTGGTGTGGTTCTGGGTGTGGGTAATGGCAATGCCCACTCTAGGTGTTAGTGCTACCAGTCTTGAGGTTGTATAGTGTGGATAGAATATAAGGGACAGAAAGAGAACTGCTTTTGTTGCTGCTTCTTCTTTGCTACTTCACTGCTTTGCTGACTTCTGCCCACTGTGAACTGTTTCTCCTCTGTGATGCCTGTCTGTCATGCCACCCTGCCTTGGAGCTGCCGACTATGAACTGAAACACCTGAAAATTGTGAGCTACAATGAATTTTTACTCCTTTAACTTTGGGTATCGGGTATTTTGTGTCATCCATGAGAAAAGTAACTTTTAAAAGAAGTAACTAAGACAGTTGGTTTGTCTTTGCACTAACATCATACTGTTCCAACAGCCACCATTATAGTTTTATATGTGTGTGTGTGTGTATATATGTATGTATGTGTGTATGTATAGTTTTATATGTAAGTCAGCTTGATGTCAGGAGGAACAAATTTTCATACTTTATTCTGTTTTTATTTTTTTTTTAAATATTATCTTGGATATGTTTAACTCTGACTTTTTCGATATGATACTAGAAATGAAATAAAGAACTCTGAAGTAGGATTTTCTGCCGAGTTCCGGGAGCCCCCAGACCCAGTCCTAGCCCAGGTCCGGTGAGTGTGCGGAGAGTTTCCTGCTACCCTGCGC